AAAAAGGGCTGGGTGCCAAAGACATATTTCCGCTATCATGTCTGGTATTGGTCTAATTCATGGTACTTATGATCGGGGTGCCAATTTTTTTGCTAAATTCATTCTTAGTGGAACGGAAGAAATAGATGTGCTATTAGTCAAGTTATAAGATGGTTAAGTTCATATTTCTGCTTTTAAGATTATTATTGAAGAAAGATTATTCAATATTTGGTAGAACATTCCTAGAAAATTTACAAACGTTGAACTATAGGGATTGTCTCTGATCACCCAAACTTTTCTTTCTGAATTATTGATTGGGCTTTCCACACCTGCTGCTATGACTCTCTTAGGCTTAATTATTGGGTTTTACATATTTTTACACCGAGATCTGTGATACATTCGGTATAAGTAGATAAATAGATCTAGGGTGGATGATGAAGATAACTTTTATACTTCTTTTATTACTCTGTAGTTCTTCTGACTTTAATTACCGCCTCAATTGTACTTGCTAGGCTTCTAAACGTGGGGCTTTTGACTCGTAAACAAATAAGACAAATCTATTCTGTTGGTATGTCTTATCCCTCAATAGGTAATTATTATTTCACACCATCAAAAGAGTGATATAGCAGACAAGGGTTAATATTATCAATCATATTAGCCAATCCCTTAGAACCGGGTTTGTTTGTTCGTGTTAGTTCGTTAATAAGTAGTTCACTAGTTGGACTATATTTGTTTGGCTGTAGCTAATTGTGTTCAAGTGGTTCATTTGTATGTTTTATGGTGTCGATGTTGCTGTTGTAAAATGGGTGCTGTCGACTCTGCAATAGTGTGTCATCGGTTTTGCTTGTTGGAGGTTATTAGCGAATAAAATCATAAGTGGATGTTCGATTTATTTTGTTGGTGTTTTTTGCTTTGTATGATATGGTTTGTTTTTGTGTTACTGGAGGTTGTTGCTCTTTAGACGCGACATGGTACTGCTTGTTAAATCTTTTTTGCGATTTTATGGTGTTCTACGAGTTTGACGTGTGTTCATCATGGTTGTATTATTGATATAGCTAAGTTGGTTGTGTCTTTTGATCATATGTCCTGGCTTCATTTTGAGTCTCTCAGGCAAATTGTTCTGAGGCATAACGAAGAAGATATATTTGTAATGATGTGGAGGAATCTTGGCATTTTTGTCTCCGCCATTATATCGGGTGTATTTGTCCTAGTTGGGTAGGACTTAGTTTTCTCTTATAGGTTGTTAGGAGAAGTTGTTATTTTGGTGATCCGTCGAACCTTCTAATTGCGTCGATCTGTTGAGATCTTCAGGCATTCGAGGTTGTGGCTTGCGCGTTATGGGGGAGGTAGGGCTTTGTAATCGTCGGTTTGGTTTATAGATTACTCTGTTTATAAAACTGGATTTTCTGCTACAAGCGTTGGTGGTTATATTTTTGTATATGTCTGTGGGTCGGCTGGCTTTAATTGGGCAGGTTCGATTTTGAGTGGGTGGCTGTTAGTGTTGTGAGGATGTTCGACCTTGTCTTGGACAGTATAAACAAATATGTATAGGTACT